AATCGGATGTTAATGATTGTCACCCTACATGTCGTGTTCTTAGTGGCAAACCATCCAAATTCTTTTTGTGTTCCTTTGATAAAAAGCAAGTTCCACTCAGACAGCTTTTTCGACGGGACTGTTACTTTGTGGAACAAACTCCCGAGGGAATGCTTTCCTGACAACTATAATCTTTATCAGGGTCAACCGGTATCTGTCCTACTCGTCCTCATAACACCCTTACTTAGAATCTCAATCAGCCACCCTCATCCTTGAGTGGCTCTTGAGCCTTTTATTGGGTAAGCTATCAGGACCTGGGGCTCAGCTGATTCCATTTTTTATACTGATAGGCGTTATTCTACCTACATGTCCATGTATATATATTCTTGAAATGTAAATACGATGGTCATTCAATAAATAAGGTGAATTTTTCAGTATAAGGACTTCTAAAACAGATAGAAGCTTACTTTTTTTTTCCAGCGTAGTCTCCCAACACTGTCACACCATTTTCCCTTCTGTACACAAGCTTCCGTATTCCCTCAGCGTAAAAATCTTTGGACTGATGTCTCAGCCAGTCGCTCACAACACTTTTGACTTCATCGTCACTTTTAAACTTCGTGCCTCTCGTCAACGCTTTCAAGGGATCAAACAGGTGAAAGTCTGAAGGGTCAAGGTCTGGGCTGTAAGGGGGATGAGGGGGGCAGTTCCCAGCCCAGCTCGTTGATAGTCTGCACCGTTTGGGCTGCTGTGTGAGGCCTTGCGTTGTCATGATGCAAGGTGACTCCTTCTGACTGATGACCCCTGCGTTTGTTCTTTATGTCTTTCTTGACCTGCCTCAGCAGTTCACAGTAGTTCTTCTGTCAGACTAAATGAGGTCATTGACTGATTCGATCAGACCTCACTTCTGTAGGCCTCCCAGGCCTGTCTTCATCCTCAACACTGCTCCGTCCTTCTTTAAACAATTTAGCCCACTTGTAGACATTTTTGGGGGGCTGAAACATGTGGCACCATACGCAGTTGACATTCTCCTATGAATTTCAACTGGTTTGCACCCTTCAGCAACCAAAAACTTGATAACTGACCGCTGTTCAATCCTGGAACATGCTTCTTGGTCGGCCATCTTTGTTAATCGCCAAAACTCTCAAAGTTTTTTTTTAATCTGCAAAAGAAATTAAATCCATGTGAAAAAGAAGTAAAACAAAAAAAATGTAAGCTTCTATCTGTATTAGAAGTCCTTATAACGAAAAATTCACCTTATTTATTGAATGACCCTCGTACTTTGTTTGACAAATTTCAAGACATGGTATTAAACCTCCGAGCCTTTAGGTGCTCTGTTAAGATGTAGTCCTCCATAGCTTCTTTTACCTTAATATCTATAAACAATTCTTTGCTATGACTGTTTTAGGGAAAGAAAGTGGTTTCTTGTTGTCTTCTCCATGGTTTTGAATTCAGTGTTATGTTTCTTCTAGACCGGTAGCCAAACAAGGCTAGAGACCTACCTTTTTTTTATTATACATTGTTGTTCACTCAATACAAGCCTCAAGAGACACTCAAAATAGAGGGTTACTGAATGAGGTTATTGTAAAGCTATAAAGAGAGGAACTAAGAATTTTACACTATAAAGATATGTAAGATAGATAATGGCCAACTCTGGACTTGAAAAGGTTAAGATTATAGTGATTGAGAAAGCATCCTCTTGAGAATATGTTCTACAATGTAACAGATCTGGGAAAGAAGCTTAACCCAAAGTGAATAAAATAATAGATAAATAAATTAAAACTTTTGGGGTCAAGTGATAAAAAATTGGATGTTAATGTCATCCATCATGTATGGTTCTTAGAGTGCAAACCATCTAAATTCTTTTTGTGTTCTTTTGGATAAAAAGCAAGTTCCACTCAGACAACTCTTTCGCCAGAACTGTTACATTGCAGAACAACCCCCCGGGAGAATGTGACCCCCCTCCCCGACAGCTGCCATCTTTCTGATTTTCTCTTCCATTCGACACACATCTCACTTTTCTTCTATTTCTCATTCCTCACTTCCGGTTCATCAACTTCCTTCCCTATAGTTTTTTTTTTTTTTACCGTCGAGCGATATTTAGCAAATAGCATTGTCTAGAAAAGGTTCACCCGCTAATTAAATCATCAGTGCAAACGCATAAGTGGTGACCCATTTAAATATGTCAATTTGCTTATGCCATTGTTAACTGTATAGTGTTACGAATTGAATAAAAATGATAACATCAGTAGTACGGAAGTCCTAAGTATGACGTTAAACTACATCCGGCAGCAAGGCCTCTGATCGGGAGATTGGAGGTTTTGAGGAGAGTGAAACCATCTTTTAATTGCTGTTGTTCTCATGTTCACCTTGAGCCGGCGTGGTAGCATCGTTGGGGTCCCAGCTATTGGAAAATACTGACCCCCCCCCCCCAAAAAAAAAGAAACACTATGAATATACTGTTTCCGGGATGCGTGTATTTCGTTGAAATGTACACAACCCTTAGACAGTTAGCATAAACTCT